GTCTAAGGCGCTGCATTCAAGATAATATCTTCTCCAAATACCAAGGAGTCCTGCAGTATCGAAAGATTCTTGGGTTCGAATCCCAATCTTGACAGTTCTCGTTAACTTTTTGTCACGCTATCTGGATCAATCAAGGGTGTCCTAAGGCCTAATACAGCACTCTCTTTCATTCATTCAATTAGTCAAGATGGCCGAGTGGTCTAAGGCGCTGCATTCAAGACATGATCTTACCTGGTTACCTAGGTATTCTGCAGTATCGAAAGATTCTTGGGTTCGAATCCCAATCTTGACAGATTACTTTTTGCTTTCTAGTTTTTGCTATCTGTCTACGACGTGAAACATCATTCTACGTGAATTTGATCTCGCATCTATTAATAATCTCCAGTCAAGATGGCCGAGTGGTCTAAGGCGCTGCATTCAAGACGTGTTCTTGCCCGGTTACCTGGGAATTTCTGCAGTATCGAAAGATTCTTGGGTTCGAATCCCAATCTTGACAATTGTTTTCTTTTTGCGTCATCTGCGTAGTGAGTGCCCTTGTGTCCTGTCTGTCATCAATCGTACTGGTTTGTTCGTACTGCAGCTTCAAGCTGTATGCATGAATACCTGATTAATCTTGGAGGTAAAGCATTCAGTAACAAAACCCGGTACGGTCGCGACCTCTTTTCTTTAATCGTCGTTCAGCGTATTGAACGGCCTGGAGTGATTTCCATCGACTGCTATGCGCATTGTAGGCAGCTGAAAAAGACAAACAGTGGGAGTCAGTCCAGGAGAAATGGGGCGAGAGGATCTGTCCATTAACATGTGGCCATCAAGAGCGGGGAAGGGATAGACTCAGTACTGGGACCCGCCGTTTTAATTGCCGTGAATCTGGGGTAAGCGGGGCCTTTAGCGGACTCAGTGGATACGCTCCAGGGGGCCTAAAGACCCTCCGGATGCTAGTGGCAGTGAAATCTAGACAGCACGCGACTTGTAAAATGGCAGTGAGACGCTGTGAGGCGTAGCAGGACACGGAGCCTTGGATGTTTCGACAAAAGTACTTGGATGGAATGTCACTGCAAAGTCGATACAAGCAAACGAACACCACTGGGTACACGTTTCCGCCCCGGATGTTACAGCCCTTCCTGCACCTCCTCCTCCGCTGTAACTTCTGATTCAGTAGGCCTGTGCCGCACACTGTTGCTCCTACTGGCAGTCGCTGAAATAATCATCGATTGAGAGGCTTTTCCTAACGTTTGGCTACACGCACAACAACCGAAAAGGGTTCAACATCAGAGTGTCGCCCTGTCGTCAATTGACTCCTCAGACTGGGCTGACACTTGCATTTTACTGTTTCATCCGCCTCAAACAACGGTAAAGCTATCGAACGATTATCCAAGTCAGAAGCAGGCAAGGGCACTAGGTGCTACTTAATTTGCCAGGTCACTGCTTGTATACAAGCGGGGTTAAGATTACAGACTGTACAGCTTGTCTGCTGCATCTCCTCTCTTGCTTAGCATTCATTTGATTATGCCCCATTGCCGCGTGCGCAACGAATATTTAACATAACAAGCACTTAAAGCTCTCACCAAGACCAATGATTCGATACCGCTGTGAGATTTATATCAATAGTGAATTTCAGTTAATTCCAAGCGGTTTGCATTGAGCATTCACCCACCCTCATCGTATCCGGAACAGGAACAGGACCGTACTGTGCAAGCCAAACCTACGCCACCATTTCGCTTCGAGCAGCTGCATCTCCTGAACGGCAGTCCCCAGGATTCTGCACTCTTGTCCGCTGCATCTCTCCCTCGCGTCCGCTCCACTCAGACCATGATGACTCTGAGGCGTCGCTAACTTGGCAACCTTCACACCAACCTCCACATGGGACGGCATACTCCTTAAGCGCTTTGAATGCTATGATGCACTGTTTTCAGAATGATTTAAACCAACCGCGAACAGTGAGCGATCAGGTCACGAGGTCCAGACTCGACGTAATGGAGGGCATTGACCTAACCAAGGGCGAATCACCACCTGTCTCGGTCTGCGGGAAAGTTTGAGGTTGGGGGGAGACTGCAAGCCATCCGCTGCTCAAGTGTAACCTTGTCGACCGCACAGTATTGGTCTTACTATGTACCGTTGTTTGCGCTGATGCACGCTTACATGCTCAAGTATACACAAAGTCACAAACACTTGGGCATGGGAGGTCCTCTTCAGCTCAGTCCAATCAATCCTCATCGTCTCCTTTGCCTCCCGCTCTTGCCCAAGATGATCATCCAAGCGCTGCGTATGCTCTTACCCCGCTCGATCTTGCCTAAGAATACAGATGTGGTTGCACATATATAACGGAAGGAGGTGCCCCTTTCGTTATTGATTTGATTCCTTATTCTCTCATCCCAATCAAATCATAATCATCAATTCCAATTCACCTAACTCGCTTTTCTTCATTCCTCATACCGTCCTTCCAACCACAAAGAGCCTTTGCAATAAACCACATTTGTCTTGATCTACTCTAGTCATATCGCTGACTAGATCATTAAACAGCGAGTGATGCTTCATCAGTCTCCTCTTATTTCTCACACCGCTAACATTTTTGCGCTTGTAGAAACAACAACACTTTCTCTCAACACTCATATCACCATGCCCGTCCGCGTCCCCAGACTTCCTGCTGCCAAGCCCTCAGAGATCTTCTGCATGGGTGCGGCCGGTGTTGGCGTCTTGACACCTCTGTATCTTGTCATGCCAGGAGCCGAGGAACGTCTCTCCAACCAGACCAACAAGTGGGCTCCACGATGGGAGAGGAATGTCAGCTACTTCATCCCTCCTATGGAGAAGGGCGTCCAACGCATCGAACCTCCCGTATCCAAGATGGTACAGCGTGTTGAGGACCGTCTTCCTTTGGAGAAGATGGCCAAGTCCGTTGACAAGGGCATCCGAAGCGGTATTGCTCGATTCAATGGCGAGAACAAACCCTAAGAACATATCTCTCTCTGTCTATAACACTCTGGTTCTGGCTTCGATTATGCCTGCAGCTTATCGCTAGGCAGCTGTCTTCTCTTTGTATTTTATCATAGCATACCCCGGGTACGGATAGATGACATATTGCTCTTATCGGCCCATACACGAATGAAATGAATTATATTTTACTTTTCTGTCACTTAAGCTGTGTGATGTTGAATTGAACACATTTTCCCTTTACCGGAATGCTATCTCTTAGATGTGAATTTATCTTACACGAAATGTTCTCATTACTTTTCTTTTGCTAGTTAGTGCCTGGTGTTGAAGGCTGAGTGCTTCCACAAGTATGTGGTCTTTGCTTATGGACATCCAGTTGACATCATGGTACATGGGTCTCGAGCTGCCCTTCACACAGAAAATCCTTTCACCAATTCACACCAGATTTGGGGTTTTGATACACAATATCTTTGAGGCTCAAGGAATGTAGTGATGAGTGGAACCCGGTTGCGACACATCCTGGCTTGATAGCTTCAATCTAGGGAAGCTTTGTGGAGACCGACAACTGGAGACTGGGCGCTTAGTACGGATCCCCGGCAGCTGTTGGCATCACTGAAGCATCAATGTCATCCCAGGATCAGTGGAGGTTTATTCCTCATGGCTTATTGCTAAGGAGTAGACAGTTGGCTACAAACATACTCTCCCTGCGCCCGAGCCATTTACCATCTCGAGTCAGTCCTCGTCACCGTCACCGACGTCTCTACGCCTGGCCCATCTCATCTCTCCAAGATGACACAGACTGGCTTCATGAATCCGCCCTTGGTCACTGGCGCAGTGCCGGCAACCCCCGCGATTTGTCAACCATCTCACCCCGCACTTCGCTTCGCGCCATCGCCGAAACGGACTCAAAGTTACTGTGCCTGTTTTTGTGCTTGTCTCTTCTAGGTATCGGACCGCTGATCTCACTCTGACAAATGGTCAACAGACCAGTCATTGCCTTTGCCCAATTGATCGGCTTTACTCGTGTCACCGGAAGGTCAAAACCTGTTTACACTTGTCGAACCATGACCGAGGGTCTTTAGAAGCAACAGCAACTTCATTAATACGAACCATCAGAACCTAGATCTGCGATTAAGTCAATTTCAGTTGTGATTAGTATCGAAGGTATCAAGACTCTTGGTGACGAAACAATCAGAACTGTAAGTCCAGTTTGTAAGATGCGGCGTATCTGGGAGAAGCTACTTGAAGCCGGCGTCTCATGATAATGGACTTCTGGTATCAGATATGATATGCCGTTGCATGACTGGTTCAACAAATGATCAGGCAGCAATAGTAACAGGACTCCATCCACCCACAAAACAGGTTCTTCAACCGATAATCAGCTTGGGCAAGTGGTAATTCAACGTAAACCCAAATTGAATATTTTCTCTCAGTATTATTCACTATTTGTAGTAAATCATAAATGAGTCTTGATATCTGATATCCAAGAGAAGGAAACGTCAAGTAATATAAGTTCTTCGCTACTTATTTTCATATGACCTCACAGCCTACTTATATCATACTTCACAATATACATTGTGCTCTCAGTATAGAGCTTCGTAGATTTACACACTTCTCCTATCCAGAAAAGCCAAGACGTTCAGATCGAGCCAACAATTTCAAAAAACAGAAATGAATCAGAACAAGCCTGGGCAACCATAAACACCTTACGCAAGACACAAAACCAGCCAATTGCGCCAAACTAAGCAAAATGGAAGAAATCAAGCGGATAGGTTCGCTGTTCATCGTTGTTGTCGTTGTTTCCACGCATAGACTTCCCTCCTCCGGGGCCATATGCGTCAATACTTCCCGGCTCTTTCGTTGGGTTGAAGGTGGTCATCCCTGACATTATACCAGTTGACATGGCAGCACTCTGATTCAGAACTGAGCTTGCACTGAGGCCAGCAGTTCCAGATGTCCAGTCAATAGCACCATGAAAGTGACCCTGCGGGAAAGGGGGCTGCATGTTGGATAGTCCCCAGCTATCGGGCAGAGGAGTAGGGAGATTCTGAGTGCTTATCGCTCCAACCATATGTGCCGAAGCAATCTCAGCGTGATGAACATTGACTGCATTACCACCGGCCAAGCTAAGGCCAAGCTGATCCGGCTGGCTATGTACATTCATTGGGAACATGATAGAGTCGAGCGGTGGCTGACTATGCTCGCCATATGGCAACGTATAAGCTTTATCGTTGAGCGTAGGCGTAGGTTGCGTCGGCATTCCGATAAAGGACGGTTTCGATGAAGCATAATCCGACGTTTGCCGATGAACAGAAGGTCGTCTTCTCTTCACAGGCTGACTGAATTCCCCGTCCGCTTCTCTTCTGACTGGAACTACGGGAGTCGACGAATTGCCTTCAAAAGTGAAAACACTTTTTGGATTGCCCATGCCCACGTGAACGACATGACCCGTGCTGCCACTGCGGGACCGTGATACATCGGTCACGCTACCCCTAATCTGATCGAGGACAGCCTTGAGCAGATCATCCATCCTCATAGCCGGATGATAGGTGGCACTCATATCACCCACAGCATCAGAAAGGATTTCGAGGTAGCCGGTGTAAGTCTGGCGATTAGGCTCGTTGCGCTGATATGCAAGCGCGGCGATTAATGCTATGGAAGCAGTACCGGCATGTTGAATCCCAGTTATAAAGATCTTACGGCCGTCAAACCGTTGGCGATGTTGCCAGAAGATTCGAGCCACGCGTATTGCCTGCTGCGTGCAGATACTGCGTGCCAAAGATGTACGACTGCCATGAACTGCACGTTGACGATCATCTGCAGATACCGAGGATCCTTCTGGGTTGTGGCCAAGTGATTGCCCAATGGTCTCGGGTTTTGGCATTCCCTCGTTATCAGCACCGGATGCAGATCCAGGCTTGGAATCGTCGCCGGTGATGGAACCGTACTTTGCCCATGGCCGATGTAATAAAATCATAGTAACGTGGTATTGCTGATGTAACAGGAAGAAGCTGAACGGTGCAGTTTTGACGTTGCTCGGTTTCCACGCCATCCGGTCTGGTAATCGCCGGTACCAGTTTTGAAGCTGCCTGTCAAGGTTTATCACTTGAAGATATCTATTTTCTTCGGCCTCCGTTGCAGCAAACGTGCCAGACTGTTCCATAGCCTTGTTGGAGCTTGACAGGTCTCGTATCTCTACAATACGACCTGCTAATTCCATCAACTCAATGAGTTGTTCGTAAATTTCTGTTGTCAGATCTGTTTTGACGGTATCAAAACCAAAAGCTGCCAGCTGTGAAAACCGGTTCGAGAGGAGATCGACGTCTTGGCTTTTGATAGCCAGTGGGCGGCCCAAGAATAGCCCCCAGTATCTGTCATAAATAACACATGCTTGCATTACCATATTTCGAATCTTTGTATCCTGTTCAGACACGGTGCTGGCACAGTCGAGATGGAGCCCAATATCAAAGGCAAGACGATTCGCCATTCCTAAACTTGGTTAACCCGGCGTGAACTGAAAACAAAGCATGCGGTTCAAAGCTCACCAGAATACATCCAACCAGTGTTATCTCTACCAACACCGCACTCAAGATCACCTAGCAGTAGTAAAGCCTGAACGCTAGGGATTCCACCTGGGCGTTCAAGTTCAATATCTAGCATATGCTTGGCCTCTCTATGGAGTGTGCTTTCTCGCGGGTTGAGTGTGATTTTGCGCATATCGTCTCTGTCCATATCTGCAACGCGATATCCCATGGCTAAGATTGATACATGAAGAAAATGAGAGTAGAACTTGGAGGAATTGGAACTCCGGTCAGCCTCGAAAGCGGATCGGTCGATAATTTGAATAACAGAATTGTAGTAATGGAAGAAACTATCAATGAGATAGTCGTGAGTTTCTTGACTTAGGGAACGGATAGTTTTAACGGCTCTGCGAATTTGTTCCGGAGGCTCATGGTTATCCGATAAACTGGTCGACTCGGCGTATACATGACTGTTGGCGGTGGGACCAAAGAACCGTAGATGCCCGGAGATTTGGTCGAATGACAGATTGCCTTTGGTGGAAAGCAGTCGATGAATGATATCTCCTTGCTTTGGATCAAAAATTTGAAAAGGCGAGCTTCCTTCAGATGAGGGATTCAGTTGTGATTTCTCATTTTGGCTCTCATTCTCATTTGCCGCCACATCTTCAACGTGCGAGTCGGGTGGCGAACGGCCCTCGCTTCCAGGGGACTTTGATTCAGACTGTGGTGATGGATCCTGATTGCTCGATCCCACAGCTACGCCATCTTGAAAATCGTGCCTTGTTTTTGGAGGATGAGTTGCGGGTGGCGGTACTACACCTTTTTCCAAGAGGAGACCTTCAAGCATGGAGATTCGATCTGACAATGACGACATATATGCTTTAGAGATGGGTCTGAGATGATTCTATCAGACTAGAACGAGGTGGAAACGGGGTAACCTGGTCACATACCTTCTGCGCTCATCATCATTCTTTATGATGCATTCTGCGCCGGATTTTGCACAAGCAATACATTCATTTTGATTTTTGGGAACAACACACCGAATTCTTCGATCGCGACATGATGCACAAGCAACGGAAGCGCGATGACGCACTTGCTGCTTACTTGTCTGGCGGGCTGGCTGAGCTTTTGGTTTGGGTGAGACGTCCTTCTCACTCGCTTCCAGGTTTGGGGCATCTTTCGAATTGGCCGAAAGAGCCATGGCGAGATAGGCGGCACAAAAGTGAGTGTAGTTGGTCCCTCCCAACGACGGCTCACGTTTCACGAGGGATATGGGTCTCGGATAACCGGATTCGGCGGCGGAACAATCTGGGCAATTGATTGATTAAAGGGGAAGAATTTAGCCCCAGGAGGAAGCGGAGATGCAAATTGAGAGCTGTCTATCCCTGCTTGCGTCGAGACCTGGCACGCGCGGGAGCTTGGACCTTCCCCCACATTACTAGTGTAAAGCTAACAGGAGAGGGGTCTAGGGAACTACAGTATTCTACTAAGTATTATAATAGTAATAGAAGCCTTATTTAAATTACTTTATAGCCTAGTAAAATAAATATTATAATTAAAAGCTAATTAGTATTATATACTAGTTTCTATTATACATATATAACAGTTAGTTAGAAGGCTAGGTAGGTTTAATAATAATATTATACTAACGCTTAAAGAGTTTAAAATAAGGTTATAGGTAATAAGGGGTATTATTCCTTACAAAGGTCTAATAAGCTAGGGTTTAGCTAAGTTATAGGACCTAGTTAATAAGGCTAAGGTTATTTTATAAAGTAATTATAATAATTATCCCCTTCTTTAAAGAAAGCTATCTTTAGCTTTAATTTACTTTAAGTTATATTAGTAATTAAATATATATAGGTTATAGCTAAATTATAGTTCTTTTATAATTAGGTAATTATTATCTTTACTTATTATAGCTAATAGTAATAGCTTACTTTACTATCTTCTAATACTAATATATACTATTATTTTTACTTTACTATTACCTTTATAATAGTACCTTTTTACTATAAATTATAAAAGTTATAGTAAATTAGGTAGCTATTACCCTTATATTTTAAGCTATATAAATAATAGCTCTTTCTTCTGTAGCTCTTCTCTCTTTCTTTCCTTCTTATATTAATACTATTCTTCCTTATTATAGTATTCTACCTCTTTATACTTAATTTTATTATACTTTACTTATACCTTTAGCCTTTTCTCTCTTTATTAATTATTATAATATCTTCTAGTAAGGATAAAAGTAAGGATAATAATCCTACTACTAATTAGCTTAGGAAAGTAACTTAATTTAATTTCCTAAAGCCTAAGGCTATTACTACTAGCCTTAACTTATATATTAATTATATATATATTTTCCTTAATACTTTTAGTAATACTTTAATTAATATAGATAATAATAATTAGTATAACTTCTAAGGTCTTTTATATACCTTTAGTAATTTTACTACTTTATATTATAATATTTACTTAGGTTTTAGTTATACTATTTATTTCCTATATATTTTATACCTAATATATCCCTATTTCTCTATTAACTTAATATAGTATTCTTAGCCTTATAATAGGAGATTAGTATTAGCTCTATAGTACCTTATATTAGGCTATTTATATACTAAATACCCTTAATACTAATAATAAAATATATATTCTAGATACTAAGGCCTATAGTAATCTTAGTTTAGCTTTATATTATTTTATCTAGGCCTTCTATATTACTAATACTATAAATTATACTTATTATAATCTTATTAGTAAAAAGTCTAATACTATTATAAGTTCTTACCCTAAGTACTTTTAACTTTTACTACTTATATATTATAAAAGAATTATACCTAATATAATATTCTTATTACTAAGTACTAAGTTTATACTATAACCTTATACCTTACTCTTAATTATTATACTATATATAGTTTACTTATTCTTTATTTTAACTTCTATTAACCTTAGTACTTACTATAAACTAAAAATAACTAGGATACTTAGGTATCTTTTACCTATATTTACCTTTTACCTAGTAATACTAATAGCCTAACCTAAGATATTACTATTACCTTCTTTTAGTATATAATTAAAATAATTAAGAAAAATAGTAATAGAAAGTATATAAAGTATCTTACTAGTATTTTAGTTTTATTTAATTATCCTTAGGTCCCTTACTTATAGCTTACTCTTATAGCTACTAATTTTCCCCCTTAACTTTCCCTTACTAATAATTAGTAAGTTAGTTCTAAAATCCTTAGTAAATAACCTATTAATTACTTTTCTAATTCTAGATATAAGTAATTAAAGTTAGGTTATAGTAAGTAAATATTAAGATAGTAATAGTAATATTTTAGCTATTAATCTAGTTCTTTATATTAAGATCTATAGTTAATAAACTATTATATAGTTTACCTTTCTTTTTTATACTTATATTACTTTTCTATTTAATATACTTTTCTATTTAATATACTTTCCTATTAACTTAGTGTTTTCCTTAGCTTATACTTAAATAATATAAGGTATATTTACTATATCTTTAGTAGTAACCTATTAGTTATATTTAGCTAGCTATTTTACCTATTTAACTAAATAGTAAAGTTATTTCTTAATTACCTTCTTTACTTTAATATATTCTACCTTTTATTTATTATCTTAGTTTTCTAGGTTAAGTATTAATAGAAGTTTATTTCTATATTAATATCTTCCCTTAAATCCCTTTAAGAGATTAATAGAAAATATATTATATAGTTACTTATACTATTTTAGTAAGGCTAATTAGTAAGCTTATATATTTACTTTCTTTAGAATTTAAAATAGTTTAATATATTTAGCCTTTAACTTCTTCTTTTTTTCTTCTTTAAAGTTTAAACTTCTTATTAAAAGTATTATAAGTTAGCCCTAAGAGTATATAATCTCCTTATACTTTAAGTTATAATACTACTACTATTATTTATTAATAGCTATTTAGTACTTTAATATTTTCTTTTATATATTATAAAGTTACTAGATTCTTATATATACTTTAAGAATATCTTTTTAGTAATTTACCTCTTTAGTATTTATCTATATTTTTAGGTAGTAGCTTATAAGTATAATAAATAGGCTATTATTTATTATTATATTTAATATATTATTATATATATACTAGGTATCTTAAAGTAAATTTAGCTATATCTTTTAGTTATCTTTTATAAAGTACTATAGGTAGTAGCCTAGTATTTAGTTTATTCTTTCTATTTATCTATTAGTTTAAGGGTAATAAGTAGTTAAGAGCTACTATTTTACTCTTAATATATAATAGATTTTAGCTTAGAACTTACTAGTAAATATACTCCTTTAGTTTAATACTATACCCTAGGGTACTTTAAAGTCTATAAAGATATACTTATATAATATCTTAGCTAATTTAGCTACTATAATTATAAATAATATAGGTATAAATTAACTATACTTAGTAAATCTATTTACTATAACTAGAATTATATTTACTTTCTTATCCTTATACTAAGCTAGTAGTAATTTAATTATAAAGTTTATTAAGATCTTTTACTAAGGTTACCTTAGAGTTAGTAGGTTCTTTAGTTTCCTATATAGTTTATATCTCTTAGGTACTATTATTTAGTAAACTTAGTAGCTACTTACCTACTCTTTAATATCTTATTATATATTTTCCTAATAGAAATTCCTTTAAATTAAAACTTAAGTTTATAGGTATTTAAAGTACCTTACTAGCCTATTATTATAATATTAGTATAGGATTTCTTATCTAACTTCCTTATCCCTTAGGATATATAGTTTATTTTTATAAAATAAAAGGTTATTATAAACTAATTATAAGGTTTTTAGTAAAGTATTACCTTTTAGCTTCTTTTTCCCTTTCTAAGCTATTATTAATTCCTTTAAGTAAAAGATATATATATCCCTTTTCTAGGCTTTTATAATTATATTATATAGTATCTTAGGTATTTCTAAGTTAGTAAGGTTTATATTATAAGTACTCTTATATATTACTAGCTTCCTAAGTATATTAGGTAGTTTTAAATATTCTTTTATTTATAAGTTTAAGTTAAGTAACTAATTAATATTTCCTTTTTTATATTAATTTCTTAAGCTAAGTACTCTTTAGCTTACTACCTATTAAATAAGTAAGGTTTAGTATAACTTCTAAAGATATCTTATTATACTTCTTAGTATTTACTATTATTATATCTAATTCTTTAGTAATATACTTATAAGGTCTTTCCCTTATTTTCTTCTGTACTATAGTAAACTACTTTTCTTCTTTTAGCAGTATCTTTACTTATAACCCTAACTCTATTAGTAGTAGCGTATTATCTGATTCTTTAGTAATATACTTATAAGGTCTTTTTCTTATCTTTTTCTATACTATAGTAGGCTACTTTTCTTTTTTTAGTAGTATTTTTACTTATAACTTTAACTCTATTAGTAGTAGTATATTATCTAAAGTATAGTTACCTATTACTTAGGCTTATCCCCTTATAATTAGGTTAACTATTCTACTTTAAAAAGGATTTAATAACTACTTAGTATTATCTTATAGTTATTTAATCCCTAAGAGCCTTAAGGATATATTAGTAGGGTTATTCTTACCTTTTCTATACTTTATAATAAAGTTATAGGGTATAAGATATATATACTAATAGGCTTACCTCTTATTTAATTTTATATTAATTATAAAGGTCTATAGTTTCTTATAATTACTTTAGATTTCTATTTATAATAAGAACCCTTTAAGGTATTATTATTAGTATTTAAAGGATTTAATAATTACTATTAGCTCTTAATTTAATATACTATATCTTATCTCTTTATTAATAAACTTATAAGACTAGAATACTATAGGGTAAAAATAGCTCTTATTAT